CATCCCAGGCAGTCACCTGCCCCTATAGCTGGCCCTGCGGGAAAGTGTTTTTACTGCTACTCTTAGGTGCTATGGTAATACAAACAACCACAACCATCATCTTCAGTTTATAGTAGCACCTAAAGGCCCTAAATCAGATGATGGCTCCACTGTGCAAGGCATTGTGTAAATTTGTAGTAAAAGATAGTTCCTGATGATTAGATCAGATTTGAGATTTTAGAGATAACTAGGCCTCGGTTGCTAGCTTTAGGTGTTGTAAAATTTTGTGCTGTGTATTAATAGTTAGACGCTTCATACGATCCATATACACACTGCCTAGCACCTTTATCCCAGAAGCTCAACCCAAACATCAGGCCTGAGCAGAAGAGGCTCTAAGCGCCATCCACTCACGTAAAAGTGAGAGTTGGAGGATTTCGTTACCTCTCATGAGGAAGGCCCTTAATTGTCACAACACCCTGTGCATGAGGTAAGGGCTATTTGACAGATGGGGAAAACTGAGGGGAAAAAAGGTTGAAGTGTCTTTACCAAGACACACAATGTGTCTAGAGCTTGGACTAGAACCCAGGAGTCCCAGAATCCGGTGTCCTACTCTAACCACTAAAACCGACCACCAACTAATAAACCATACTCACTTAAGATGCCCTTCCATTGCCTATTCTGAAAAGATAGTTAGACCCAAAGAGACATCTTTTATCTTTTTCTTTGCCCTAGCAAGGCCCAACTGAACAGATTACGTACGTGCCTGAGTGCTTTATTGAAGAGGGATAGACTTGGACAAATGCTTGAATGGCTGTCGAACTGGAACCTAAATATAGCTTTTCTCCCATGCACTTTTGCACACATCTAATCCTGGAGCAATGCATCAGTCACATTATTTAACGTTGTACTGTTCTTTATTTTAGGCTATGATCTAGTGACTCAGCACTACTCTTATCACTGCTGTTTTTAAATCTCTAATGCCATTTGTTAGTATTTGTAGGCTTCAAATACCAACAAATCCAGTTTTCAGAAAACGAACAAATAAAGGTGATTGAAAAGGCAAGACAGGCCTATTATTTTCGTTCAGAAAAGCAGGAGTGCCCCATCTCCTCCCCCCTGCCCATACGTGTTTCTGCTGCTCCAACGCCTTTTCCTTAGTGCTGGAGAACGAAATGTACACGGAAGGAAGTTATTCATCAAACAATTAGAAAGCCAAGACAGTAGGAGTTTTCCTAAATGAACATGATTTAGTGGAATAACAAAAGGAAAAACAATGTCTGGAATTTCAATGCCTTCCTACATGTCCATGCTCTTGCAGTTACATTTGTTAGACCATTTTAGTCATCTTCCACTTAACAAAGCCCCAGCACGGAATACAAAAGTCAGAGGAAGGCTAAAGCTGCCATGTTATATTGTACTTATACAGGAAACTAGCATAGGCAGGGCCGGTGCTACCATTTAGGCAAACTAGGCGGTTGCCTAGGGCGTCAAGATTTGGCGCCAAAAAGCGGTGCCCCCAATTTTTTTTTTTACAACGTTCCTATGCCTCCTCCCCAAGTGTGCAGTCGCCACTCCACTTCTCCCACCTCCC